CCAGGTCGTTGCCCGTGGCCAACACCAAGTCCAACAAGGCATCCCCCCTGGTGGGGCTGTGCACCTCCTGGGTTAGATGAAGGTCCTGGACTCTGTCTAAGAACCTACGGGAGCACTCAGACCTGGCTGACTGCTCCTCCCAGCAGATGTCTGGGAAGTTCAGGTCCCCCATGACTACTACATCCTTAGCCTTCGCTACCTCGGTGAGCTGTCCCAAGAATTCCTGGTCAAGCTCCTCTCCTTGGTTGGGTGGTCTATAGTAAACTCCCACCGTTAGGTCCCTTTCCCCTCTTTTGCCTTGAACCCTAACCCAAAGCACTTCAGAGTGCTTCTCCCCTGACTCTTTACTAATTAGCGAGGATGTGTATTCCTCCTTGATATAGAGTGCCACTCCCCCCCCTCTTTCCTATCCTGTCCCTCCTGTACAGCCTATAGCCCTATGAGAATATCTCATTCTCCTTCACTCCAGAGGTGTTAACAACCATCTCTCCTTTTTAATGGCCTTGATGTTCCATCAATCTAACCTTTCTTGAGACAATTTTGCTGTCTACTGGCTATTCCTGGTGTCTCTTTTCCTACTTCATAGCCCTACAAACAGTCTTTGGCTCCTTTCAAAATCACAGATCAACCCACTGTGGCAGCAGCTAGAATTTCAGATTTGCCCAATGCAAAAAAGGAAAGGTGAGCTGAAGATTAGGCTCTGCCAATGTTCTATGCAACCGTAACCATGGAAAAATCTTTCTCTATTCATTCTGCCTTCCTAAAAACAAGGTTTGTACCTTAGTTTGGGACGTGTTATGTGAGAAGTAAGTAATACAGTAAGTATTAGAGATATGAATTATAATGACAAGCTGATACTATTGCTGACTTTACTGACAAGTGGACATGGATGGGTATGCCTATATAATTATCGAGGGGTATTTCCCAGGCCACCCTTCACACAAGGGCCTGCAGACTATCCACACTACAAACCCCTATGCACACCCTCCCAACAGCAATCCAGCCTTCCCCTGAAGCTCACCTGAACATTAGGGCCAGAGGCCAAGCTTCTCTCTAGCTCCTTCCCCTCCCCAGTGTGTTCATAACTCACTGAAGCAAATATAGGAAGTTAGCAATCTACTTCCTGTTTCTATTACCTGTAATTACGGTCAAACACAGAAGGAAAGACAAGAAGTGGGTGCGATTCCTAGAAGGGCTTTTTTTGAATTTCCTGTTTTGTTTTTCTAGGAATCTGTCTTCAGAATCAGGTATTCACCACCCTACTTCCCTCTAGGTCAGCTTTTTAACTGAATGTCATCCATCACTGAGCATGAAATCATCTGAATATAGATACCATATAAATATCAGAAGCTAGAATATAGTGATTCACTAAGCAGGAGCATTAAACTCACCCAGGGCCCTATGCTGGATCTGGATCATGGGGTTCCTCCCAGGCTGGATACCCAAGGCTAGTGCCTGCAACAGCAGTGCATCCAGTGGAGGCAGCAGTGAGGGTCTGAGGGTGGTGGTCAAGCAGCAGAGGAGCCAAACTGTTGTGACAATCATCTGGGCATGTTGGGGCTCTGCTGCTGCTACTTGGCCCTGCCACTGCTGCCCTCAGACCCTTGAAGCAGCTGCTACTCGTCCCAGTGCTGGAGCCCTCATTCACCCCCCTGCCAGCAATGGCCATGACCAGTGAGGCCCAGAACCCTCAAACTCTGTGGCAGGCAATACTTTTTTTTGTCAGCCCCCTGCAACTTCTGGTAGCCTGTCAGTAGCCCAGTGGGTCAGATGGAACAGTTCCACAAGCTGGACTCAGCCTGCAGCCATATGTTGGACACCCTAGCACTAAAGGAACATTGAGCTATGCCCGTGTTTCCCAACCTTTTCCAGCCCAAGGCACACTTACATTAATAAAAATTTTCCGCAGCACAACTGTTAAGGCATTCCCCATCCTCATACCTATTGTAGCTCCTTGCCATGGCAAAATTCCGTGGTGCACCTGTTCATTTCTGACGGCACGCTTCTGTGCCATGGCACACTGGTTGGGAAACACTGAGCTATGCTACCCTAATTTATTAATTGACCTTTCTTGTTACCAGTAAAATTCGGGGCAGGGCTGTAATTGTCAACTTTCAATCTGTGGCTTCTTCAGCCAGCAAGCCCCAAACCACTGCTTGTTCAAAGCTGTTCACTACCTTGTACACTCAGATACAGGAAACAACTTTTCCTCTCAGTGACAGAGAACAGAAGAACCTTCTCATTATTTGTTACCAATCAAAAGGGATACGAACCTGCTAAACAGACCATGAATTGAATTACTCTCAAAACATTGAGGACCTAGCTATATGGAATTGAATGAAACTGGAAAAAAAGGTAAGATGCAACTTTGTCTCCTCATGTTTACATGTTACTCTCACAAAAACAGTGTAACTGGTTAGGATTGGATAGATTTTCCCTATAAAACAAGGTCCTTAGTCTACAAAGATATCTAGATATCTTTCAATAGATTAATGGTAATGTCCACCTTTGTGAAAGGAAGGAGGTTCTATACTTGCAGGTCCTTTTGAAGGACTGGAGCCTACACAAAAACAAATTCCTAAAATCAGACATTACTGAAATATGTTAGTGAATCGAAACAGTCTGGATTCAGCAGATTGTTCAGCACATGCAACAGTGCTCTGGGTCTGGACTTTGCAGATGCAATGATGAATGAGAAAAAGAACACACTTTAGAGTATACCACAGCTACACAAAAAATGAAAAAAAAAAATCCCTCTTCTCTATGCAGCAATCAAATTAGGACTGAATTTTCTGACTCCAGCTTCATTTTCTTTCTTTCTTGGCTGGTATCCACTCACCTTTAAGTAGGGCCTGGTTTAAATCATGATTTTCTATTTTTTGTGAAAATCACAAAATTGAGGGATTTTCACGAAAAATGCAGTTTGCAACAAAATGCCACGATATGGCCACTTGCTGGGGAGCTTCAGGAGTGGGGTAGGTCCCAGCCCCCTGCCCCTTTCTGCCAGTGGGGTAGCTAGCAGTGAGCTAGCTGCTAGGTGCCCCACCAGCAGATCACTGCAGGAGGCTGAGACCTGCCCCTCCCCTGCAGCTCTTTTCAAGTCCCCTGCCCCTGATTGAGGAGCCAGTGCCAGGAGCTTCCTGCTGCCAGGGCAGGGGGACATTGTCCCTACCCCGGCAGCAGGCAGCTCCTGGAGATAAGGTGCTCCTGCTTCCCTGCATGTGTAGATGCTTGTCCAGGAGCACTTACAAGTAAAATGATCCCAGATCAAATGCATGTGTAGACATGCCCAGTGTGGAGAAAAAGGATGTAATTTGGTCAGTTACAGATGTTCAAAGACAGAAGTGGATCCTAATCTATTACTAGGCTATCATATGCCTAGTGTAGTATCCGAATGGTGTTTTAACTTAGAACCTGTACTACTCTGAGGTTGGACTGATGAAACGGGGGACCAAAGACTGGAAGGAATCTCCCAGGTCACTGAGTCCAGTCCCTTGCTTTTGTAAGTAATAATTTAACCTAGAAAGGTTTACAAGAACATCTATTTCAGCCCCTCCCTCAAACTGGATTTAAAAACAAACAAACCTTGCATTGTACCACAGAAAGAGAGCAATGCTTGAAATATTAGAGTAGGTTCTGACCCTTGTTTAAAAATGCTAAAGATGAGGCCTTGACAATTTTGTAATGTCCACCCTCTCCATATTTATACAAATATATCTAAAGAACACTCCCAGCTATTTGTAAGGAAAGACTAGCAGGGGGCACTAGAGGTCAGTCCTGGGCTCTGGGTGGCAGTGTCAGATGGTGGAGAGGCTGGCTGGGGTGCAAACGTGCTACAGTCCGGGGCTGAGTGGTAGGTAGCTCGTGCACTTTAGCATTCTCATGCCCCAGCCAGCCCCTGTCACAGTCTACACGTACGTTTTGGTGGATTAAATTACTCTGCTGTAGGATAGTACAGGCGACCCTTGCTGTTCTCGTATCCCCCACAAATGGCGAAATCCACGAATAAGGCACTGCATTCATGAACTTCATGAATGCAGTGCCCCCTGCAGCTGGGGGGTGCTGGTGACGGCTGCGCTGGTGATGGTAGGAATGTGGCAGCGGCAGTGGGAGCCTGGCGGCAGCAAGTGCAAAGCTCCCGAGGAGCTCCTTCAAGTGTATTTAAGATGCGGGTTCAGCATTCACAAATATCTGAATGCCACAAATGCCAAACCCGTGAATAGCAAGGGTTTCCTGTACTGTCTCCAACAGTACTATGCTACAGAGGAGTTAATTACTTTACAGTGCCCTAATACCAGTGCACATATAGACTGTGACACTTTACTGCAGAGCTAATTAGTCAACTGCAGTAAAGCACACATGTACATGCACTCTGTGAAGACCAATGTGGAAGGCAGAAGAGACATTTGCTATTAATGTAAAGCTGCTCAGTCCATCTGAAAAACACCCTTTCCTTATTGTTTCTCAAGGCAGAAGGCAGGGCGTGGTGGCAACTTAGTGTGCCTATACATGTGTGGGACACTTTGATTAATTGATTCTGCTGGAGCATTCTAATTAGATCGCTCCAGCAGTCTCACTGTCCCATGTATTCACTGTCCCTGCATTTCAAAATGGTGGTGGGGGGGTGCTTTAACTAAAGCTCATTGAATGAGCTTTAGTTAAGGCACCCCTGCTGCCATTTTGAAGCATGGGACACTGAGTACACAAGACACTATGGACATTTTAATTAGAGCAGCTCCTGAAAGCCACTCTAATTTAAACACCCTCCCACCCCCAGCCTGGAGCACATGTATCGATGCCCTTAGAGATTAACTTGTTCAGAGAGGTATCAGCTTTCATAGGAGACAGTCTACTTCATCAGATACTACAAATGGATTTGCAGTGAGCAGAGGTACTAAATAGAAAGGAATAAAGTAATTTAAATACAATGTACAGAGAAAAGCGGAGGAAAAATATGTTTCTATTCACCATAAAAAGCTCTTACAACTATTTCCTTTAATTGCTACTCTGGTGATTTCAAATAGGAGAAGAGAATGTAGTTTGGTTATATTTTTCACTTGCACTTGTGGAAAGATATTCTAAAAACTCCCTTAGAAAATGCAATCTATTGAGCATATTTGACACATTTTAAGATTGAATTTTTCACATCTTATTGGTAATTTAAAATTAATTATTAATTGTGCACTAAATGTACACTGCAGGAGTGAACAGGAGATGGGGTAAGCAGGGAGCAAGGGGACCAGCATAGGCATGAAAGGGCAGGCTGCAGGTCCCCTGCCTTCCCATGGTCACCCCCACACTCCTCCTGGCCATGTGCCCCCTCTCCTGACAAATAAGCTATTCTAGCCCTGTGTAGGCAGAGCCTCAGCTCTGGCTTCAGCCTGGGGCATGAGGTCAAAGCCAGAGCTGAGCTACCACCTGTCCCCAGCAGGTAGTCAAATCCAAGACAAGGCTCCCCACTCCCCTCCCCACTGCTGACTGAGGAAAAAAACTCATCTTAGATTTGAGTAAATATGGTAATTCAGATAAATACACAATATTTTGAAAGAACTGGATAAATAAAACATTTAAAGTTTTCAGGGTTTTTTGACAAAGGAATACTTTCTGAAATTTTTCTACAAATAAAACTACAAATAAAAATTAGGTTAAAAAAGTTATTTTTGGCAGTATCTTCAAATGCATTAATGTACACAAACAAGGTTCTTTGGGTAAATTTGATATCTTTTATTAGACCAACTAAAATAGTTGGAAAAATTATTCTTTGCAAGCTTTTAGGTAAAAACACCCTTCTCATCAGGTTGAGAAAGTGTCTGCAGTTGGTCTGTGTTCTTCCTGGATGGAATAGAATAGAAGCCAGAGGCCAGTATGCACCAGTCAGTGAAAATACAAATTGAGGCAGTCAATGGGCGAGAAACAGGTGGGAGCGGAGGAGGGAAATGTAGACCTGGTGATAAGAATATAGCTGGTAAATATTAGAGAGGTTATCTGGGGTATCAGATGTTAGGCAGGTTATAATGTGTCATAAATCC